TACAGGGCTGCACAGCCCTAGTCCTGCCAGAGGCCGAGAGCTCCTCAGTGTTTCTCTTGGCCTCTGGCAGGACTAGGGCTGTGCAGCCCTGTATTGAGTGGGAGGTGCAGCCAGGGGGTCACCATGACTTGGGGGGTCAGGGAACAGAAGGGGGTATGAGGTGCAAGGGCCATTCCAGCTTATACCTTGCAGGGGAAATACCATGTCATAAAAGTGGTTTTTCCAAGGGGAAGGCTTATCCTTTGCACTTCAGGTATGCTGCTGAACCCTGTGATTTCTCCAAATGTGAGGAACTCAACTGCATAATTTGTGTTAATGGGAGATTGTACTTGTTATTTCCCTGGTTTTTCTAGATTTCTTTTCACCTCTCTTTCTTCTCATCAGGACCTATTACAAAGGTAGCAAGTCCTGGTGATGTCTTGTATTGCATTTCTCTCTCTCTTTTTCCCCCTATGGTAAAGGATCAGGGCAAGAGGAGTCACCATTATCAAGAGCCAGGGGGCTGCTTTGATTCCTTTCATTCTCTTTCTTTGTTGCTAGAGAGAGAAAAAGGAGGAAGGCCATCTAAGACCCATTGAATTTCCAATGGCAGTGCAGGTGAGGGGATTGTTTTTTTCCCAATATGGTATGGGGAACTGTGTTTTGCAAGATGATGTCTTCTATGAACAATTTTCATAATACAGTGATTTTTTTCCCCAACTGGAACACATTAAATAGATTTCAATGCATTCCAATGGGGAACTGGGTTTCACAAGACGATGTTTTCGCAAGACAGTGATTTCCATGGAACGAATTAAAATTGTCTTGCGGGGCACCGCTGTACATATTTTGGATTTCAATTTTCAGCTTCTCTATTGGGGCATATCAGCTGCGGCCTCAATGAGCTGGAGCCCAAAACATATGGAATATCAAAGAGTGGGAAAACACTAAACTAGATGACTACTTGCTGATATTTTTTAGCCTAACCTACCTTACAGGGTTGTTGTTAAAAAATTAAATCTGTATAAATTCAATGCACACTTGGAAATAAATGTTGGTTTAGTCTTGGTGACTGTTAACTGAAAGTACTTCTGTAGTTCTAGCTTCTGTGGCCCATCCTAGTATCTGCTACCTTTGCTACACAGCAGCTTTGGTGTATCATTGTTACCTGACAGGTGTCCTTCTGTCCTTCAGGATATCCAGCACAGATCATGTCTTCATAGATCAATCTGTGATTCTCTGGCATGGTTTCATCCTCAGTGCCATTGTGGTACATTTCCTCACATTCATCACTGTCTAGGATTGGCATTTCAACCTCTTGGAGGATCCGAGCAATTAGGGGAGCTGGAACCGGGGGGTGGAAAGACAGTCAGTTTATCTTCATGTGGATTAGTTGCTTTCCATTAGCAGAGATTGCAAAGTTACTGCTTTTGGACCATCACTCCAAGAACACCTCTCCCAGCACAGTCATTGGTGATAGAATCTGAGATAACCCTGGGAAGTGCAGTCTATCTCATTGCCACCTATGGATATAGAAGGAGACAATGTGGCTGATATTATAAAAGATTACAATTCTCCCAAAGTTTGGGAAAGTCTCCTTTACAGATCGTAGTTCCCAGAATCCTCCAGACATTCTAGGAAATGTACTCCAAAAACAAAGTAACTTTCCCCAGCTCAGAATTCACTCGTTTAGAGTGCGCAATTATCTGACTGGTAAAAACTGTTCCGAATTCGGCATCATTTTCCCAGAGAAGTGTGAAATATCAAGTGAGATTTGGTGCATGCTGAAAAAAATTGGAAATAGCCGGCAGGTTCAAATGGAAGAGAGACCAGGCTGAGAGTACTGGGGGGGATGTAGGAGAGCTGGACAGGAATCTCCCAGAAAAGGGCATGGCTGGACCATTGCAAGGATGCAGAAAATCAGTGCATACTCCAACACTTAGTTGCAGATCCCATTACCATATTATTACAGTCCTTTGAAAGAAGATAAGAGGATAAAAACCAACTAGAGTAGGCCCAGTGAATAAGTCGGGATTCAGTGAGTCAACTGTTCTGTAAGGCCCACTGATTCAATAGACCTCCTCTAATTGCAATGTATGACTAGATTTCGGTCAATGTATCCTAACACTGTTCTTTTCAACATGCAGAAGCAGAAATCTTCCACTTTTCCACCTGGGTCCCCTAAAAAAGTCACTCCATATTCTTAAGGCTAGCTGGCTACCCTCAGGTACAGTAACTAAAGCTCTTATATCACCACTGTTGAATATGATTCAGATATCAACACAATCAGCTTCTGTGTATGGAAGAGAGAGGTCCGATCTTGCCCTTTGCCTCAGGCAGAAAAATGTCTGTCGTCAGCCCAGGATTCAGCAGAACTGTTCTTGTTTTTAAGCCACACTGGCCACCACAGCAGCCACAAAAAGCAGGTACCAGGACCATTTTGCAACTACCATATTTTCCATGTATAAGACGCCCCAATGTATAATACGACCCCCAAATTAAGAAAATTTGATTGCTGCTTTCCCCCTCCACTTCCTAAGCCCCACAAAAGCAGCTGTGGAAGTGGAGGGGAAAAACAGCTATCTTAGGAAGTGGAGGGGTAGAGCAGCCATGAAAGGGCTGCAGGATCACAGCCCTTAGATCCTGCAGCCCTTTCATTGCTGTTTTAACCCTCCATTTCCTAAGCCCCGCGGTGTGCATGCACACCCCACTTCAGATCCGCTTGCAGATGAGGAAGAACTGCACCTGCTGCTTCAGATCTGTGAAACAGAAGCAGAAACAGAAATGGAGGGGGTGGGTCCCGGCAAGGAGGTGCCTCCAGACTCCACTGATGAGCACAGGGCAGGCAGTTTTGCTACCGCGTGGTTTTCTCCTCAGTTTACTTCCATGTAAAAGACGACCCTCAACTTTTCCTCCAATGATTGCAGCAAAAAGTATCATCTTTTACATGGAAAAATACGGTATGTTAAATACCCTTTCTTTTTCTACATACATATACAGCGTAAGACCTGGGTAAGTTGCTATTTTAAGGAAAACTCTCAGAATCCCACAGACACCATGATTTTGGAAGTTATAATTCTAAACCTGACTTTTCCAAGATTTCCCAAGGTTGTCATGATATCCAGGAATACTACCTGTCTCCCTTGATCTACTGTATAAATATTCCCCACCTCCCTCCCTCCTACCCACCCACCCTCTCTCTCTCTCTCTCTCTCATACACATACACACACAAAAGAGGGAACAAAGAACCCCAAACCGACATTTTCCCCAAACACATACATACATTCCCAAACTCATCCTTACTTGAAAAGAACTTGCCCCAGCCGGTGGCCCAGCATGACGTATTCACAGGGATTATGTCAGAACTGCTTGGAAGGCAGATCGGCAAGATGGTTTGGGAGAAATTGACCGGCTTCTCCAGCCGTACCAAGGCAATGTCAGCACTTTGAGCTTGTCCAACATAATAAGGGTGCACTATGATTTTGCAGACAGCAGATGAGATCATGCTGGGAGCAGGTTTCGGGAGCTCATATTCCCCCAGGTTTATTCGGTAATCGGATGGATTCAGTGGTCTGCAGAAGGCAAGTTAAAATAAGTGCCTAACACAACAAAAGGCTGATGTTCAAAGTCTGACCAGTCCTAAAGTTCACAAGAAAGCTCTTGGGAAAATGCTGCAATTTGGTCTACTTCAAAGGGTTGTTTGGTGGCTAGTTGAAATTGAAATCACTATCAAAAATTGGGTAGGCTGAAAAATATTTAGATCTCTCTGAGCAAGGCCATGTTTATCAGGAAGTCAGTCCTAGTGAGGATTTTTGCCCTGAAGACATGTTCTCGAATTCACTCTGAAACTGAAGAGGGAAAATAACTGAAGAAGAGAACAGGCACAAGCCCTAGTACAGTGGTGCCCCACATAGCGATATTAATCCATTCCGGATTAATCGTCACTATGCAAAAACATCGCTAAACAGATCAAAAAACCCCACAGGAACGCATTAAACTTCGTATATGCCGTCAGCGTCTTATTAAGCCATACTCTCTTTGAGACTCTAGAGAACATGGCAGCCAATGTGTTTATCCAGCTCAACATCTAAGGAGAGAGTGTCAGAGATCGTTGAGCCAAGGTACACAAAGTCATGAACAACCTCCAATTCTTGTGCGGAGATGGTAATAGAGGGAGGTGAGTCCTATGATCACCTCTGGGAAGAGAGTCAGTGAGGGGCTTTAAAGGGCAATTGGCAGAGTTATTTTTTAAAAATTCCTCTTTAAAAGGGCAGTTCAAGGAGCCTGCTGTTCTACTCATCAGTGGTTTGGTATGGATGGCCAGCACCCAGGGCAAGGCAAGTATTGTGGGGCATAGTCACATGATGCAACATGTGGGAGCAGAGGGGCGCGGGTGGGTAAAGCAACCAGGGTGGTCCCATGAAGCCGTTCGCAATCCATGTTGGCGGCGGCAACCCAGAATCCAGAATCTTCAACCAAGCTCTAGCCGCCTCCTGTTCCACGCCACTGCCCAACTATCACCCCCTACTGTGTGCATTCTCTCTAAAGAAAAAAAGGTAGTGTCACTTTGACCTAATGTGAACTCACCCTTCAAAACAATGAGCCGCTGTCACCACCCACTGGGGCGAAATCAGGCTTCCACCGCATGTGTGTTTCCTGAGTTTTCGTATGCTGACCTGCCATGGCCATTCTCCTATCTCAGCCTTCTCACCCCCAATGATACGAGGGGAGCGCACCTGGGGGTGACCACAAGCTGCAACAGAATCAGGAGAGGTTATAAGAGTAGGCAGGGGACCGAAGAAGAGATAAGGTCACAGAACATCCCTCTGTGTGGCTTCTCAGCACCATTCTGGAGCAAAGCTATGGTCCAGAAACACAAATAAACACACCTCTGTAAAATATGGCACCTGAACGCTTTTCTCATCCAAGGGGATGGATACACCCAGAGCCCCTCTGTTATTAGATATAAGTAAGTAAGGCACATCCAATGTGAAGCAGTAGGATTTTGTCAATCTCTGTAATTGTAGAAGCTAGGGATTCCAATTTTAGGAGAAGCAGTGGCGTTGAGGAGGAAGAGAGAATGTAGAAATGTTTGTGTTTGGACATAAAACTGGATCCAGAAGGTTTGTATTCACTGGGTCAGGTCAAACCTGAACTCAGAAGCTGTCCTTGTAGTTGCATACTGTTGTCTTATTTTATGCGTTCCTGTTTGCTCAGTTTATACTTTGGAATTACTACTTAAAGCTACAAAAGATCAATTATTTAATTATTCCACTTTAGTGATTTTCCTGCTTTTGAAAGCAATGAATTATGGTTTTATTACTAAGATTAATGCTGTGCTCTGTTTCGTGACACACACACACACTAGCCAGAGATTTGGGACAACTCTTCCTCAATAATACTGCTCTGGGTTTCACCCCAAAATTTACTACCAGTATCCAAGATGCTGAACCCATCATTCAAAATAGGTTCAGCACCCTGGATTGCTCCTTTAAAGTTCAGATAAAATCCAGAGCGTATTCACTGTGCCGTGAAATCTGAGTCACCATCCTCATCCTGTTGGAAAGATGGCTGATTAAGCACAGAATATTTTGTTCACATGTTAGATGGGCAGACAGCTTTACAAAAGGTTTAGTCCCTGTAGGAAACTAAAGACATTAGTCCTAATATGATTTTTTTTAATGCAGTGGCTGAAATCCTGTTGCACAGCTCCACTTTTGCAACAGTATGTCATTGTGTACAAGTTTCATGCACCTCGAAATCACCTTTAATCAGTGGTGATTTGTCTTTAATCAACAGCAATTTACTGATGATTATAACATCATTGCTATTGCACACACGGGCTGCACAACATGATCTCAGTGATTTTGGTACAATTTCATCATATACACAAATCCAAGACATAGAACATCAGCCAAAGCCTTCTCTTAAAGAAAGAGACTGGTCATAAATTGTTATGAAGAACTATACGACAAATCTCCAAACCATTAAGAGATTTGCTGTAAGCATCCTTGGAGTCAAATCCCATCCCATTATGACTTCCTTACCTATTTCAGCAGAATTGATTTCAGGACCTGCGGAAACACATAAGAAGAAATCATAATGTCAGAAACTGAGCATATTAGAACATTGACTGGACGGTACAGTTTTGCCATAGCTGAAATTACTCGCCCACTTTCTCAAGTGACTGAGAGGAATCGCAAATCTAGGCACTGATGGAATGCAGTTCTACCTGGCAGTTAGCAAGTCCCCATAGGTTAGTATAAGTAAGAAAGGGACATCAAGAGACCATTTCTTCCTCAGTATTGCAATGAACCAGCCTTTCTGAAGGATGACACTAAAGGAAAGTGTTGTCTCCCTAGTACTGCATTCTCAAAACCAGTGTTTCCTAACCTTTTTCAAGTTGTGACCCCCTTTTATAACAGCCAAGTAAACTGCGACACCACACTATCACATTTCCAAAAGAACGCATTTTAATAGGGTAAAGAAAACACATTAAAATAGATTTTTCAGAATATAATTATACCATAATGTATTAATATCAATGCAATGACACATAATTATAAGGAGCAGGCTGTAAATCTGCCCCTACCAGATAAAATTTGAGAAGGAAAAAATAAGTCAATACTCTTTGATTTATTTTTGAGTGTGTGGAAATCACCCTCTCTTCATGTCTCCTCCCCTCCCCCAAAAAACCCTCTCAGTGAAGAGCCCTCCCCCCAAGGCCAAATAAACACCTTTCTGATGGGCCCCACCTTGTGCCCCACCCTTTCCATGGTTCTCCTCCCTCACCTTTTGGCCCCTCTTGCCTTCCTTCTCATGACTCAGGCGGAACCTGGGTCATGTCCCAAACCAAGTCCCCTCTCCCTTCACTGCACCACCCTCACCACATCCAGAAGAGCCGGAGATTCAGGCGGAGCGAAATGCACCATGCACAACTTTTCAATCCTGCCGCCATCTTGATATGGGTATTCCCAGCATGCACCACATGCTTCCCTCATTCAGGCACTTTAAGAGGGGCTAACAGTCTAGTTCGAAGGGGTGATGTCAATCCTCCAAAGGTGGATGGGGAAGAGCAATGAGAAATGAGCAAGAGTGGCTCTTACAGAATGGGTAGGAGTGATGAACCTTCAAAAAAGAGGAAAATCTGTACAAAAGGGTACAGAAATACCAAATAACTCTATGTGGCCTGCAACTTTGTTTTAAATTAAAATTATCTTATCTATGGACCGAGAGAATTAAAATAAAAGAGCACTGTGTATATCAGGGGTCCCCAATCGTTTTAACCGGGTGGGGAAGGTGGGGCAGCCAACTTGCGCTCGTGTGCACGCACGAAGGAGCAGAAGGGTGCACATGTGTGCACTCTCATGCGCATGCAAAAATGGTGCCACTGCGCTTGTACGGGGCACGCACACTCGTGCGCCTGTGCAAACGGTAGTGCGGTACTTGTGCGGGCACTCGGGCACATGCGCAAAAGGGTGGGGGAGCAGTCGCGAGGGCGCTGGTGCGTACGCACATGGGGGTGAGTGGTATGGGGGGAGTCCATGCGTGGGGGGTAGGGAGGGCTGTCTCAACGGCCTGGTCTGGCTCAGGCCACGGACTGGCACTGAGCCGCGGACCGGGGGTTGTGGACCTCTGGTGTATATCATATTTAATAAATACAAAAACAACTGCAAGTACAAATAAAGATGCCGACCCCCAGAAAACACATTCTGACCCTCTTGAGGGTCCTGACCAACAGGTTGAGAACCCATGGTCAAAACAAAGACAAAAGAGAGGTAATCCAAGTCTTCCTTTTTGGGGGAATGTGTTCCCATCTGGTAGATTTGCGAAATATAAAATGTGAGAAAATTTAGAAAGATTATGCACAGAAAGCCTGCAAAGACAGTAATCTAGCTACTCCAAGATTCTGAAACATGTCAGCCATATTCACATATACTCATACATGAAAACACACAGAGAGAACTAATTATATTCATATTGCCAAATCAGCAGCCATTCTGGCTGGCGGATCCTGAAAACTGTAGTACAAAAGGTGGTTTGTTTTTTTGTTTATTTGTTTGTTTGTTGTTTTGTTTTATTTTTCAAATGCCATCCTTCTGTTACAATACACCTAACAGGTCTCCTGTGTGTTTAGCAGTTGTAAGGCAGGGAAAAATCAGATTTCTGAAAAGACTTTTTAAAAAAAGAGGGAGCAAAGGATTGCTAGTGTGAGTTGCTTAGGCTTGCAGGGCTGATCTTTTGATCAGCTGAGACAATCATATAATCTCCCATTTGTAGTCTTCATAGTAACTGGGGAAGTGGTGGATTTGCTAGGCAAAAATATATTACTGCAACCTCTTCCTGTTGTATTGCTAAATATTTGGGCATGTTTTAAGTTTCAAGAGGCAGGTAAGATCCGTTAGATTTAAAAAACACTAACTCCTGGAGGAAAGGAAAACTGCTAAACTCCTGATCAAAAATACCTATTATTTTACACTGTGTTTGAAATTGTGTTGCACAGCTCCATATATACAAAAGTGATTGTGTCACTATCATCCCCAAACCATCACAGATTAAAGGCTTTCTTTGATAAGTTCACGGTGCACACAACTGCGTCACATTGTACACGAGTCACATAGACCCCAAAATCATTTTTAACAAGAAACAAGTTGATTTTAATTAGCTGGGATTAAATACCAGCTATGCAACAGAATTTCAGCCAATGGGGCATAATTTTGTTAGATCCACAAATGAAAGATGTACAAAGCCCTTTCTGTCCAAGCCATCCTACAGATTATAAAAACGAAACTGAACAAGAATTGTTATGCAGAATTATGGAGAAACCAAGAGTCAACAGATTTTACTTATAAACATTACCTGAAAAATCTATCAATAACCACAATGTTATTGCATCCTATTTGTTTTTAAAACAAAAAAAAGTTATTTACCTGATGTGCACTTTTGCTCGTTTATGTTTACATTAGAATTTGACATATGTAAGCATATTTTAGTAACAGGATACAGCCCTCATTCCATACTTTTCCATTTCATGCTCACCAGTGACACTTTACTGCATGAGACGGAGCAACAAATGATACCCCCCTCACACCTCACATAAGCCAAGCCACATAGAACCTAAAGTTAGGCCATGTATTTTGATATCTAAGATATAAATCCAGCAAGTATCAGTTTAATAACAAATTAAACAACTAACAATGTACTGCCTCTTAATGATAGCCACATGCCACTGCCCAAAGCAGCCATCTCACTCTGCCTCCAACTAGCCCCCACACATAAACACATAGCCATACAAACCTCTCAACAACAGGAGAAGCAACACAATCAGGGAACAACTAAAATTCAGCATGACTGGCCAGTCCTGGACAATTCTGCTCAGATGCCACCAACCAACCAACAAGGCAAGGAGTCAGAAAAGAGTGCTAGGCTCACTTGTTAAAGCCAAACACCCTTTTGTATGGGCAGGATTGATGATAAATCAAGAAAACAGCATCATTACATTGGGGAGAAGTACAAAAAAGGCTGTCAAAGAGATCAGATTTTAATCTGTTGGATACTGAACTCTACACCACACCCTGGGTCATTGAGGAGAGCCAGCTCAGCTGCCTACTTATTTCATCAAAGGGAAGGCAAGCCTGATGGACTATTTGCATCTCCACCTCTTTCTCCTGCATGCTAGACAGATGAGAAAGAAAAGGGAAACAATATGGGGTGTATTTGTGGGATTCCTGCTTCTTTAGAGTTATATAAACCCAATCATTTCCCCTGGCAGACTTTTTGTTCTCAAGAAAGACCCAAAAACTGCACACCCACTGAAACCCTGGCTGTGAGATCTATAAAGAACGACACCACCTACTCCTTTGCTTCCAGCCACAATTCAAGGGGGCCGGGACCGACCTTTAAATGGTTTCTGCTCAGGCAGGGCTGGATTTATTCACAACTAAGGGCCTGTCCAGACTAGCCGTTTTGGGTGTGGGGTGGATGGGGCTACAAAATGTCTGTTGAGACCAAGGGGATGAGTGATATGCCGCTTGGCATACTCCTCCTGTCCAAAAAGCAAACGACCCCTTGTAGCCTGATCAGCTGTTAACTGAGTATTTCCCCTGCTCGTCTACTGACGTTCAGGGAAAGTGAAATTATTTTACCTTCTCCCTCCCTCTGCGGGGGCTGTTCTATTTTCTCCTTTCCCCCTTCTTGTTTCCCTTCCCTCATTTATCCCTGGACTTTCTTAGCTGTGTATCCAAGACTAATGCAAGATATGGGGTGGGTTCTTTGTTGGGGTGGGTGTACAGAGATTTAGGGCATCTGGAAATGGGGCACGGTTGGTTCTCAGTTGGGAATCATTGTAGAAACCAACACACACCTCAACAGACTGCGAGAGGTTTGCATCCGACATCGGCTCACCCAAACTCAGTGCTCTTATTAAGGCTAAAAATACGGGCTTGGGAGACATGGTCCACAGCAAGCTGAGGGTGAGGGATCAGAGGATGGAGGCAACAGAGGGTGCCATGGTGGCATGTTCGAGAGGGAGAAATACCTGTAGAAGCCTCAGATCTTATGGAAAGCTCCTGGTTTTGAGATCCTGGTAAGCATAACACAAATGGCTTACTCTCCCTGGGAGGAACCTGCAGCCATGATGCATTAAACAGGATAAATAAATAACATGCCAAAAAGAATGCATTCCCTACCACAGAGATGCAGAACAACTACCAAAGGGAAAGGTTGATTCAATCTAAAGACATGCAGACACTGGCCTTTTTCCCAATGCAAGCCATGCCCTCAGGGATCCATCCATCATGGCTATATGCCAGTGTGGACAGGCCCTCTGATAGCTGCAATACCCTGGTGATGAAGGGTCTCAGAATACCAGAACGAGGCAATGCAATGGGACCTCTTAAACTGGGGACCGCTTAGGGTCACAGCATGACTGAATCCAGTCCTCTGCCCAGGCTTTTCAATCACTTGCAATTCAAGATGCCAGAGTTGACATTTAAATAGCCTGTGGTCAGGATATTTGAAGGGCCACAAAAATCTGTCTACTGCTCACGCTTCATTTCATTTCCCTCTCACTCAGTTCTGCCACAACCACTTGATGTAGTCAGGCAACCGCCTCAAACATCATATGCTAGAGGGAGGCAGGAAGCCCTGCCCTTTCCCCTATACATCCCAATCCAATCCCCTCTTTTGGAGGACAGAGCTGTATATGACTTTAGGATTGCTCCACATTCCCTAAGATGCTGTGGAAAAGGCTATCCTATTGCTATTGTTGAAGCAAGTTGCAAATGCTGGTTTTGAGCCTGTCCACACAGGCATATAGATATATGGTATATGGATCGCTGAAGGTTTGGATTGGGGAAAAAGACTGTGTCCATATTTCTACTTAGAACAAGCCATCCTTTCCCTTTATGAGCTGTCTCGGAGCTTTCTGGCACAGCAAAAGGACATGCATTCTTTTTGGCATGCTCATTCATTTAGCCAAGAGACAGGAGCCTCCAGCAGCTTCTGCCATCATGGCTGCAGCCAGCAGCACCATGCCCACGGGGTTCCCCCTCTGCAGAGGCATCCATCTGCTAAAGACAGGCACCATGGGTAACATGTTGCAAGTAGGTGAACAAGGGACTGAGTGAATGCCAGCAGCACTGGTGGCAGCGGTGGCAGTGATGGTGAGGGACCACCCTTTTGCCCTTTTTGCCCTTCACCTGCAAGTCCCACAGCTTTGCTTCCCAACCTCTGCCTTCTCGCTCCCCTCCTTTCTCCTCTTCCATTTTCTCTTTCCTCCTTTCTTTCCCATTTCCTCCTATCTTTTCTATTTCCCCTCCTGTTCACCCATCCTCCTTCTCTCCTGGCAGTTTTGCCTGCTGCTTTTATACTCTTTTCCTTCTCCCGGCTGATTTTCCATCCTCTTTGCTCCTGTCAGTTTCCATTTCCATTTCTTTTCCCATCCAACAGCATCCTCTTTGCTCTCCCCATCTTGCTTCTCTCTGTCTTGGACCCTTTATTCCTCCCTATTCCCTTCTTTCCACCTTCTCTTTTCTCTTCCTCTCCTCATTTGCTGTTTCTAATTTGACAAGTCAATTGGGCTACAAGGAGTCGTTTGCTATTTGGGTGGGAGGAACATGCCAAATGGCACATCATTCCTCCCTCCTACCTCACTCAAACTCTTTGAGGCCCGATCCCCCCCACACCCAAAACAGCCAGCCTGGACAGGCCCTTTGTTGGCTTTGGTAAAGGTCAAACTATACAACTCAGCACACCATTACTTAACATGCTGAAAAGATATCTGAGAAGCTTTTCTTATCTCCCACACCTTACAATTAAGTTGTACGTATTTATTTTGTGATTGGTCACCAGGAAGTAAATACAGGGTATTTATAAGTAATTGCTCAGGTATGACGCTCAGAGTGTGTTTGTTACACTGTTGATATAATAGTATTTTCAGCTTCTGAGGGCCAGCACCATCCATTCTAATATTTGATACATTTTAATTCTCCTGAACAAGAAAAACAGATTCTTCAGCCCAGCCCTGATCTCATTTTGATGGGAGGT